ACCCTAAAGTTTCAGCTTTCTAGCTTTTCCCGTTCCCGGGTTAGTAATTTTTGCGCCAAAATTTTCGCATGCCCATACATGGGCTCGGGCGCTTTTAAGCTGATTTTGCTCGTACATAAGTAGGGAACATTCCCTTAAAGTTCCAGCTTTCTAGCTTTTCCCGTTCTCGAGTCAGTAATTTTCGCGCCAAAATTTTCACGTGCCCGTACGTGAGCCCCTGACGGTCCTGAGGAGCTGAGTTTGAAAACTTTTGGTCGTGCATAAGAGTATGGAACATTTCCCCCTTCCTAGCTCTTCTCATTCTCGAGTTGTGAATTTTCCCACCATAACTCTCACGTGCCCGTACGTAAACTCTGGGCACTCCTGGGCAGCTGAATTTGAAATCTTTTTGTCATACATGGGTTTAGCTTTCTAGCTTTTCTTGTTCCCGAATTAGCGATTTTCGCGCCAAAACTTTGACGGCTCGTACGCGGGGCCCAGACGTGCGTGAGGGTTGGGACCGCGGTCCTGGGGTGGTATCTGGCTGGGGAACATACTGGCAAAACTTTCAGCTTCAAAGTTTACGTGGTTAGCGAGTTGAAATACCCGGACAGACGAACACACACACACACACACACACACACATACACACTAACAGGGTCGTTGCAATATGCGTTTTTGCTGCCTGTTGCAGTGCTCTAGCGCTGCACGGCAAAAACGCATAAAAAGCAGTAACTGCGAGACTGAAAACGGCCATTCGAGTTTCGTCGTAGTATGACCATGACTTCTTAATGAATGTATGGATATGAACACAGTAAACACTTCCGGCTAAAGACAGATCTTGGCTTGTTGCTGCGTCCCCAAAAAAAAATTTTATTACACGCCTTTGTGCTCACGCTTTCCGTATTTTTTCGTGATAATTTCGCTTTCGATCAGAAAATATGCCCAAAATTTTCTTCTACGTCGACGGCTAGCTTTAGCCTAAATCTTCTGTATAGCTTTTGCTTTTCACCGCAGATCCAAAGTTTATTTTTTTCTACATACACAGATGCCAAGTATATTATACCGGACGTGTTTTAAAACATGATTTGAGGTCGTACAGTTGCTATCATGAAATGTCGTTGAGAATATTTCCACCGAATTAAAAAAAAGCCCTGCCCTTGTAAGCAATTCACTTTTTGCCTGAGAATCGCCCAATTTCCAAGTTTTCAGATACAATGGCTTCTGAGAGGTTGCACAAAAGAATATTGATATGTTTGAAATTTCTCGCGCAATACATCTTCTGCATATTATTTCGGGAGCTACCGCACCTGTTAACAATGAAACGAAAATCAGTAGTTGACCAGGTTTCAGTTTAAATTTCCCTTTCCAATAAGCCACAATTTGCTCGTTTCAGTAAAACACCAAGCTATTCATAGATGTAGCCAATTTGTCTGTAAAATCTGGCGATATGCTGATCACTTCCATTCAACTTGCCTGCTTAGCTGTTGCACCGGAAAAACTTCACACCGAATAGCGATTCAGAAGACTGCAAGTCTTATTAACATCTGTTAAAATTATTGCTTGTTGGAAAAAAATTGAAAAAAATTTCCAAATTCATTTAGGTAGTCGTTATCACTGGTGGCGGAATGGGCATTGGCAAAGCATTAGCGCAGAAATTTGCGCTGGAACAGAAAGCCGTTGTTTGCATTCTCGATATCAACCAGGCTTCATTTATTTTTTCTTTTGCAAAATGGTTTTACAAACGGCTGCGCAAAAATAACTGTTAAAAATGAAATAAAAGCAATAATCGAAACCACCTAAAAACGACCACCAGGATGAATTCCTCAACGGGTAACGCACATTTATCGAACAGATGGTGAGTGGAGGAATGCAGCCCTGGACCGAGAGGCCTGGCATAGCTGTACTCGACGTGTATGCAGATCTCAGTAGCAATGCAAAATACTGTACTGGTAAACCGATTTTCCGGGCCATCCTTAGTAACTGCTTAAAGCAGACAAAAAATGATCGAAAGATGATGACAAGCGAACACGCAGAATATACAAAGTAATATTCTTTAATAAAACGAGTAAAAAAAGAAAAAAAATGACCCGTTACTTCACCCGTGCAACCCAAAATACGCCACGAATAGCAAGTTTTCGTGGGAGAAAAATCAACTTCGATCAAAGTGACACTAAATTATAGGAGGAAGGGCTACGAACAGTCGCTCAGATAACGGAAGATGGAGGACGTGCTTACTTCTTCCAGTGCAATGTTACAAAACCGGATGAATTACGTCTCTGCGCTCAGCAAATAATCAGTGATACCAATATTGGTTCGTAGCTTTTCGTATAAGTATGAAGTTGCACTAATACATGTTTCGAATGCCTCGAACACATAACTGTGCTAAACAAAAAAACTGCTGGGTAGTGTAAAATTAGCTATAGTACGTGCCATTTCTATGCTTGGACAGAACTCATGCAATGCCAAAACAGAATAATTAAAAGCAGATGGAAAAGCAGGTACGAGTTACACGAAACACTTGCGACATTTTTCAAAAAAAATTTTTTGATAAAGGCGAACTTCCTAAAAATGATTA